CAGGATCAATTAGGAAAAAAAGTAAACTAAAAATCCTCCAGATTGAAAAGAATAATACTGTCTATTAAAAGATAATGTTATATATGGAAAACTCAGAGATATTAATTTTAAAATATTAATATATTTAAAGAGTTTAGGAAGATTACAGGGTATTCATATATGCAAAAATTCATTATAGTTCTGTACACTTGAAAAGCATAATTCAATTACAAAATTTAAAAATAAATGTTTAGGACCAGGTGCAGTGTCTCAAGCCTGTAATCCCAGCATTTTGGGAGGCCGAGGCAGGTGGATCACTTGAGGTCAGGAGTTTGAGACCAGCCTGGCCAACATGGTGAAAACCTATGTCTACTAAAAATATAAACATTAGTTGGGTGTGTTGATGGACATCTGTAATCCCACCTACTCAGGAGGCTGAGGCAATGGAATTTCTTGAACCCAGGAGGCAGAGGTTACAGGGAGCCAAGATCGTGAGACTGCATTCCAGCCTGGGTGACAGAGTGAGACTCAGTCTCAAAGAAATAAACAAATACTTACCTTTATAAGAGTATGAAACAGGAATAGAATACCAGAGAATATATTTAACAAAATAATTGAAAAACAGCATAAAATCTGCAAAAAAATGTAGTGTTGAAAGAAATACCTAAATAGATTATGACATATCTCATGTTCATGAATTGGAAAACAATATTGTTAAGAAGACAACATTCACAGAATTAATTCTTATATTGAAAATGCTTTGCATCACAATATCATTTAGCATATTTTGTAGAAATGGACAAGCTGATTCTAAATTCATATGGAAACTCTAGGAACTCAAAATAGTCAAAATACTGAAAAAAAATTGGAAAACCTACACTTTCTGATAAAATAACTTAACACAAAGCAACAGTTTTCCTGGTACTTTCATACTGAAAGAAACATGTGCACATCAATGACATTAAATTGAGTGCTCGGAAATATACTGCCATGTCTATGCCTACGTGGTTCCCAACAAGGTGCTGAGACAAGTCAATGGGGGCAAAATTGATCATTGACTTAAATGTGAGAGCTAAATCTATGAAATTGTTAAAGAAAACAAAGGAGCTAAATTTTTGTAATTTTGGATTTGACTGTTTCTCCTTTGGTTAAGTCAGTTTTTGCTTCATATATTTTTGGTCTATGTTATAAGCTATATACAAATTTAGAATTANATCAAAGCACAAGTCATTAAATAAAAATCGGAGTTTATCAAAATGAAAACTTTTGTGCTTCAAAAGAATATCATCAAAAATGTGCAAAACAATTCACATAATGAGGGAAAATATTTGCAACACATGTGGATTAATACACATAATGATTAATAAAGGATTAACATGCAGACTATAGAAATAACTTTATAATTCAACAGAAAGGAACAAAACAACTAAATTGAAGAATAGGCAAAAGATGAAGTGACATTTCTCCAATGTCAATTGGAGAATGTTATGGTGCCAGTGGCCAATAAACTCATTAAAAGAGGTTCAACATCATGATTCATTAGGAAAAAGAACATCACAATCATAATAAAATACCACTTATACCCATTAAGATGGCTGTTACTAAAATAAAGACAAAGGACAGAAAATAACAAGTGTCATTGAGCATGTGGAAACATAAAAACTGTCTTACATTGTTGGTTGGAATACGAAAAAGTATAATTGTTTCAAAAAACAATCTTTCCATTACTCAAAAAATTAAACAGAGTTATTTGATCCAGAAATTCCATTTCTGGGTATACATCAAATAAAAATGAAAGCAGGCCAAGTGTGGCGACTCATGCCTGTAATTCCAACATTTTGGGGGGCTGAGATGTGAGATTGGATCACTTGAGCTCAGGAATTCAAGACTAACCTGGGTAACATGGAAAAACCCCATCTCTATAAAAAATTAGCCGGACATAGTGGCACATGCCTTTAGTCCCAGCTACTAGGGAGGCTGAAGTGGGAGGATCCCATGAGCTTGGGAGGTGGAGGTTGCAGTGAGCTGTGATTGTGCCATTGCACTCCAGCCTAGGGACAGAGTGAGACCCGTTTACAAAACCGTAAATAAGTAAAAAGGAAAGTATACGTACAAACAAAAAGGTGTACACAAATATTTATAGTTGCATTATTCAGAATAGCCAAAATGTGCATGCAAGCCAAATATCTGCCAGTTGATCAATTGATAAATATGTGGTATATCACATACGGAACATTCAACGATAAACTGAAACAAAGTGCTTACATAAGTTATGGCATGGGTGAACCTTGGAAACATTATGTTATGTTAAAGGAGACATTCACAATAAGCCACATAATCACACATTATGTGATTTTATTCATATGAAATGTTCACAATAGTAAAGTTGAGATATAGAGAAAGTAGATTTAAGGTTGCTTGAACCTGTGTGAGGAGGGAGGAAGATTGTGTATGAGTGGGTTTGCGGTGGGGAAGGGTGTTCCTGAAAAAAGTACAGGAACTTCTTTGGGGTGATCAAAGCATTCTAAAATTATACGTCAATAATTCTGCTACAAAAAAAAAAAAATCCAACACTGCACTAGGCAATGGGGGTGGTGGTCATTTAAGGACACAGTTAAAATAAACATGTTGATCATGATGACATAAGCAAAGCCAAACAAACAAAACCTGCCTTCACAAAGGCCAAGAAGAGACTTTGCTTTTGCTTTTCTTTGTTTTCTTTTTCTCATTTTAGAAGTGAAAAGTCTAAAACTCAGTGTGGATAACTGTCTGGCCATTGGAGACCCACATATCTTGAGCTCCAAACCTCTTCATGTCAATAATAAAGCATTTTCAAAAAAGTTAGCGTGGTTCACATTTCGAGTTAAGAATTTTACATATAAAATTTATTTGGTCCTCCCAACAATGCTAAAACATTGGCATTGCTAATAGCACCATCTTAGAGATGAGAAAAACAACACTTAGAGAGATTAAGCAACCAAACAAATGTCTCATAATCATTAATTGACAGAGTCCTGGTTCTAATCTGTTTTTATCTTTTTTCTCCATACTAATTTCTTCTCTTCTGGAGCTTGCTAAGTTTCAAATATTCTGACTCAGGAAAAACATAAATCTATTATAATATTTGATTTGATAAAATATTCAATATGAGAAATATTAATATGCTTGTTAATTTGGGGGAAAAACATTGAAGGCTACTTGAATACCCTGACATCCAAGCAGGCCCTTAATGATATTTAAAATTAGAGCTGCAGAAATTGAGAAAAAGACCCTAAATACATATATTGATTATCTTCAGGACCTGAAAATATTATATATATATGTATGTATGTATATATATATATATATATATATATATATATATATATACATATTTAAAACATACCATGCAATTTTTAAATAATTAACATTTATATTAATTCTACTTTCATTTGATCAGATTTTCATTGATAATAAAAAAGCCACTTATATTTTTAGAAAAATCCAAAATATATCTACTAATGCAAGTTGGGTGAGTTGTAGTTTGGAGGGAAAGAAAAAGAAAAAGAAAGGCATTGACAATTCTATCTAATGGGCAGAGATGTAAATGAGCAGTGGTAAATCGAAGGAAAAAAAAATGAGCACCTGAATTTGAACACTGCCAGCTTGGATAAGAATGAGAGTCCATCTGTCTGAGATAGTAGAAATGTGTGACCCCTGGAAGAGATGGAGAGGGATCCTTTAGACATGAGAAACAAAAATGTCACCAAAATTTTGAGAAAATACTACTTTCCGAGAGCAGAGTAATGAAGCAAAAGCAAAGCTCCAGCTGTCAGCCATTGAATTTTAAAGGAAGCAGAGTAGAATCTGTGGCTCAGACGTATCCAAAAATTGTGGAATCGTAATCCAAACCTTCAAGACAGTCACAAGGAGGTTCATTCGACTTTTATCTGGAGGCCTTAATGATTCTTTTGCTTTAAGATTTTAACATTTTTAAGAGTTCATTTCTTTTTTCCCTGCATCAGTATTCATTCTCTCCCAAAGAGGAATGTTCACAAATTCATGTCAACAATTGCAGATAGAAAAAAACAGGAAAAGAAAGTGTCTGGTGTTATACCAGGATGCTCATCTTATATGTGCTTCCAGTTAGCTACATCAAATGCAAGTATACCTTTGAAAAAATTTCCTAGTAGGTCAAACTGTATTAAAACTTGCACTTTGGGTCAATAGAACTAGGTTTAATCATGACGATGCAAAAAATATTTCATATGTGATCTTGGACAAGTTAATCTAAAATCTTTAATGTGGATTTTTTATTTGGAAGTACCTTTTGATTAGGGTATATTGTGAAGATTAAATGGAATAAAATATGGAGAGTACAGCTGTTTTTCTCTTTCTCTGAAATGTCTAGTCTGCTCTGGTTCTGCCTCTCAGAACTCTCCCCAGAGGAACAGCTTGACTTCTCTATATGATTTTCCTAGGCTACAGAAGAGACAGTTTAAGGCTAAGGAAGAAGTCAGATTCATGAATTGCAGTTTGTAGGCCTATGTTTAAAAATATACAATTTGTCCAACTGTGAACATACAATCAGGACCACTCAGAAGCTTTATTTACTTTTCTTTCATAATGATAAACATGTACAATTTACACTACCATTAGTCATTTAGATGCAGGAATTCAGAAGTTGTGCTTATAATGGACAGCAATCAGTTGTCCTAATTCAAGGATCCACTATAAATGTAATGCATGAACACATGTATTTTCGCATTTGAGGAATTCATTAGCTTTTTCAATGAGTCTTTTATATCTGAGAATAGCACAGATTACATAGAAATGCACATACTTTTTTGCATATGTAAGCATATACATTAAATATTTTATAAGGTGTTACTGTAGTAACTGCCTTTAATTGACTATGCCATAACCTCATTTGATATTTATAACAAAATATTTATGCATACAATAGAGTACATATGTATATGCATGCACGTGCATAATTTATATTATTTCACTTATGAATTAAAGAAGAGTTTTATAATTACCATGGAGCATCCTGTGACGTACTGCACAGATCACCCTTCAGAAATTAAAGGCTCATTTTTCCATCTGAGGGGGTGCTACTAAGATGACCCTTAGCTGTTGGTTGTCAGCCCCATGCTATGGATTGTCTCAGATGCAGAAAACAACATCACTCGGAGTCAGGTCTCTTTTCTGGGTACCATGGGAGTGCAAAGGCTCTGTCTGCAAATCTGAACAGGCATGCAGCTCTCCATCTGGCCAACACCTCCCTTTCTCAGATGCTTATCCTAAGAATTCTCCCTACTAAAATATCCTAAATATCATGCATGGTTGTATCCATCTCAGAAACTTTCTTCCAGAGAATAATACCTGAAACAAATGCCTGGAAGGAAGGTTACCTGAAATGGGGTAAATACAGACAATTAAACAACAGCAACAGAAACAGAAACAAAATTGCTTTTTTGGAGGAGAAAGAGGAGTGGAGGGGCTATAGTAAAACATAGTGAGGGTATCTTCCCTAGTAGAGGGATGATGTCCACTTTACAGAGATTAGAATAGTTAATTGTGCTAACACTAGAAATTGCTTATGCTGAAATTTTGGTTCTGTCTCTACTTAGCTGTGTATCTGTGGGTAGGCCACTTAGGCCTTGGAATACCTGTGGATATCAGATGAGAGCACTCTTGGCACCTAACCCCATGCCTGGCAATAGCAAAAATTAACTAACTAACAAATAAATAAATAAATAATAACAAATACATTATAAAAGCTATAATTATTAGCAACTCTGTTACCCCTGGAGCTGAGGTTCAACAGGGATCAAGGGATTTTTCCAATAAGTTTCTTTTTTCTTTCACTTTGCTTTATAATAGAGAGTTCTATCCCTACTAACAAAGCAAGAATACACAAAATGATTATTTGTTCACAAAGCAATATCTGACCCCCCCCAAATAACTGTCTTAGAATCATTTTAAGAATGTGCTTTTATTTGTAAATTCAGATCCCCTCTCAATCGTTTTCTGTCCTGCTCTGAAGCAGAAAGCTGATTTTTAGAGGCACCTGATTTGTTCTCTGCTGGCCACATAAATTTAGCTAGTGGGAGAAATAAAAATAAGGTTAGAGGGTAGAGAGACACTCAGCTGCGAGTGTATATTTCTCACAAACCCATCCATGAGAGGGCACTGCTGGCCATCCTGTCCCTTAATGAAAGCCATAGCTCACTTCAGGTCACCGGTTCACCCGACTCACATTTTTAGGTTCCAGTAACCAGGGTTTCCTCTTGCTTAGTCAGTCCTGCTAGTGATATATATGCTCCCAGAATTACTAGCTCTGGGTGCTTCACCATCCCATGCTGGTTGCCCTATATCCTGCTCACATCTAGACAAATAACTTTATTAAACTTATTGTAAATTACCAAGTTTGAATGTTCCATGTTCTTCCTCTACCTGTTGGAACATCAATTAAGAAATTTGATTATATTGGCAAAATTCTATTTCTATCCATGTTTTTCAGGATGACTTTCTTCCTTCTCAATTGTCCTATGAAAATAAATCATCCACACTGCTTCATTCAGTTTGGGATCTCTACAAGTTTATTCACAAAGTAAACTTATATGTTCAATTTTTTTTAAGCATTTCAATAAGCAAATAGATTGATAATGAATCATTTTGAAATTAAGAGACCTCAACCAAAGGTACACTTGTAGTGAAAAATGCCTTTTCTTACATTGTTTCCATACCGATTACCACTAAGAGGCAAAAATAGATTTTCTTGTTTCAGATAACTTGAAGAAATAAATGCTAAACATTTTTTAAACACACAATGAGAAAACATTAAACCCAAAACAGCTATATTCACAAATACATTCACCACCCCAGCTCAAAACAGTAACATGTATATAAATTCCCTCAGAATGAAAATCATAATATAAATTACAATATGACCAATCATTTAAGTATCATGTATGCATTAAAGGAAGCTTTATGAAATAACTAATAATAGTACTTGGTGAAAGATTATGTCTTGATATTAGATGAGAATATATCAGGATGTACATTTTAAAATGTGAAAATTTCTAAAAGAAACCGTAACAACTGTGAGTGGTGGTTGCACCCAAGGGAAGGGTATGGGTGGTATTATTTACTTCTTTACATTTTTTGAACGTCCAAGTTGTTAATAAATGAGCATAGAATCTATTGTCAGAAAAAAATATGCATAATTGTCTTTTTAAAACTACATATTTTTAGGTTTGAGGATACACATGAAGATTTGTTCCACAAGTGAACCTGTGTCACAGGGTTTGTTGTACAGATTATTTCATCAGCCTAGTACCCAGTAATTATCTTTTCTGCTTCTCTCCCTCCTCCCAACCTTCAGCTTCAAGTAGACCCCAGTGTCTGTTGTTCCCCTCTTTGTGTTCATGAGGACCTATTATTTAGTTCCCACTTACACAGGAGAACATGCAGTATTTGGTTTTCTGTTCCAGCATTAGTTTGCTAAGTATAATAACCTCCAGCTCCATCCATTTGCTGCAAAAGCCATGATCTCATTCTTTTTATGGCTGCATTGTATTCCATGGTGTATATGTACCACATTTTCTTTATCCAATCCATTATTGATGGACACTTAGGTTAATTCCATGTCTTTGATTATGTGAATAATGCCGCAATGAACATTCACCTGCATGTACCTTTATGGTAGAATGATTTATATTCCCCTGGGTATATACCCAGTAATGGGATTGCTGAGTTGAATGGTAGTTCTGCTTCAAGCTCTGTGAGGAATTGCCATACTGCTTTCCACAATGGTTGAACTAATTTACACTCCCACCAACAGTGAATAAGTGTTCCACTTTCTCTGTAACCTTGTTAGCATCTTTCTTTTTTAAAATAACCACTTAGAAAAATGAAGAAAAATTAACCAGCTTCTAAATATAGAATTTTTTAAAAATGTACTCAAGGGGATAAGTTTGCTCTAGGCATGTGGTTGTGGCTGTGAAATATTAAAGAATCAATGCTAAAGAATGAAGTAAAAATTCCCAAAATTACTATACACTTTTTTTGTAATAAAGATCAAAATAGTCATAAAATCTTGGGTAAAAAGAATGCAACAAGTATTCTCATTTCTTCTAAGTTAAACTTAATTAATTCACAGATTTTAATATCATATCTTAGAACTGAATCATTTTATAAGAAGCCATATCAGTTCAATATAAATTTTCAAAGACATACAAATACTAATGTAACAATGCAGGTGATTTCAGAACAAAATCACCTTAATTCCCTGGGATTTAACTGAGAGTTTTTTTGTCCTTGTGACATATTTTTATTTCAATATTGTCAGAAAAATCATAGAAACTTAGCTTGATGTTAACATTTTGCTATGAGTAAAAAAAAAAAAGGATTTAATAAATTTTTGGAGGGAAGAGTAGATATATCTAGCTTACATAAAACTCCAAACTTTATTCTAAGGCATGCTATATCAGCAAACAATAAAACACAAAATATTTGTGTTATTTATGATGACAATGTATCAGGGAATTTCCCATTCTCAATTGGGAAATTTTGGTACTTCTGCTCTTCCTGGTCTAGTTTCTTCCAATTTCCCTTATTTCAGAAATGCATAATATATTATGCGATATAACCTTTTCTGACACACATCCGACATATACATTATTTATTAATAAACATATAATATTGCTTCAAGTGGAAGGGGGCAAAACTTACTTGCTATTCTTCTCCTTTGCTAGTTTAGGTGATTTTTATTTTCCATAATTATGAATAGCCTCACAGTTAATAGTAACCCATGTTAATATTTTTATAATGTAAACATTTATCAAGACATTTGTCAATGTGCAAAATAATTACAGAAAAAAGAATTAATGTTTTTAATTCAAAAGAGTCCAATCAATTGGGCTAAGTCTTCCTTCTAGTTTCATATCCCTTGAATTCTGTCCTCAAAATATTTCCAGCATCTTGAAATCTCAATACCCCCCATCAAATGTCTAAAAGTCTATTTTTCTACTTACTCTTTCTTCTCTCTAAATTGTTCCAAGCTTTATTTTCCAGCCACTAATATTTTTCTTTATTTTCTCAATAAACATAAATGTAATCTCCTGTGTAAAGCCTTTTCTGCATATCCCACTTAGAATTTAATACTTATTTATTTATTTAGATGGAGTCTCACTCTGTTGCCCAGGCTGGAGTGCAGTGACACCATCTCAGCTGACTGCCACCTCCGCTTCCTGGGCTTAAGGGATTCTTCTGCCTCAGCCTACTGAGTAGCTGGGACTACAGGTGCCTGCCACCACACCTGGCTAATTTTCTATTTTTAGTAGAGGCAGGCTTTCATCATGTTGGCCAGGCTGGTCTCGAACTCCTGACCTCAGGTGGTCCACCCACCTTGGCCTCCCAAAGTATGTGGATTACACTTTGAGCCACCACACTGGGCCAAATATTTTGATTTTTATTCCATACAATTTCCCATATCTATATGTTAGTATTTGCCAAATTTTATGTCTGTTATATAGTTGTGATTACCAGATTTCTTAGGCCCAGTTTCTGCAGATATGGCTGGGACGGACCTTGAATTTTGTATTTCTTATGTCACAGTCATGTTTTCTTAGGAACTCGAGGGCTAAGATAAATGCAGAATATAGTTGTGCCTCACTTGCTACTTGGGGACATACCTGGTTTTGTAGAGCTGTGTGGTCAGGACAGTTTTAAGCCTATATGACTCAAATAGTATAAAAGATTGGTGGAAATCTGAGGTGGCTTTTTCTTTGTACCAAAGTGACTTGCAGACACCTTGGATCTTATTCATAGGAGCCATGCATGGCTCTTATAGGTGAGGAGATGGAAGAGGCTATGTGCCCACTCTAGAAGCTGTCAGCTCTCTCAGTAAGATGAAGGTGCTATACTTGATGTGTTTATTGCCCTGTATAATTTCATAAAACTAAGCTAACATATTGTAAGATGAAAGCTTAGTTTGGTTTTATGAGTCTGATTGCCAATTGCAAATAAAACCCCATACCATAGCTATGGTTCTCTAAATGTGCATGATATATATATGTATATATGTATACATGTGTCCCCAAGTAGCAAGTAAGATTAGAACTGTGGAGGTGGGGATGCAGATGGAGGGGAGGTTGAGGATGGGGATGGAATGGGGACAGGAGAGTAAATATATATATATATATAATGTAC